TGTTATAGCATTATTAAATGAAAATTTATAAATAACTATTTATAATCATGTATAAATTTGAATAACCTCAATTTATTATTTAAAATTAGTCTCTTACTTTATATTTTCTACTTTCCTATGAATTCATTAATATAATGGCTGTAATTTCATTTAGGTATAAAGGATGCCTTTCAAAATTACTTTGTAAATTTCTCTTCATTAGATTTTCCTTCAAAACTATGAAGTCTTAATAAACACTATTAAATAAAAATTAACTTTTTGCCTTAATATTTGTTTCTTTATATGCTTTAATTCATTGCATCTTAATTAAGTTTATTAAAAAAAATAAAAATCAAACATTAATTAATTCATAGAATTACAAACATTTCTCTGTAAAATCAATCTTTAATGCTATTTTATAGATGGTTTACTGCTAAACCTTATTCCTTTAAAATTTATCAAGAGACTTCTTTAAATTTCAACTTTATCCTTATCTGGTAAGTTAATTTAATCAAGTAGTAAATCCCATTTATTCAGCTTTAATTAATTATAAGAAGTCCTCTTCATTTCAAAAACTGATAACATTATAGATTTTCAAATAACTATGCTTATTTATATTTCATTAAAGTTTGTATTTATCAAATTAATTATTATTAATTTTCTGCAAGAGGAAACATTACTACTTATGTATTATCATCTCATTTCTTCAATTTTCTATAATTAATTTTAATCACTTTTAAGAATTCTCTGAATAATCTTAGATAGAATGATTTCTGATAGATTATCTAATAAGTTTCTTAGTCATTTATCAATAGTCTATAATAGGAATATACTCCTCCTTATTTATTAGGTGATAATATCTGCTAAACAAATGAAATGTTTCTTAAATATTAACTCACAATTTTGCAGGACTTATTTAGTTATCGGTTAGATTGTCATTTACTAGCAATAATAAAACCTATTTGTGATGAGTTTAATAGTAAAAATATTACTATGAAAAATGAAGTTATAAAAGAATTACTCAAACTGAATCTAGAATCATTACCTGGAATTTGGTTCATCCAAGGCACATGTAATATTTAAATATGATATCCCAGCTATAAGAACGATAATGCCTATCAATAATTTTCTCGATGATATTACCACAAACTGTAAAAAAAAGTTAGAGGATGATTTTGAGATTTATGGGAAATCAGAGTTAGCCCAATGAAGATTCATAATTTAAAAAGATGATCCTTACTAGAATCTGCTAAGGTTAAAGAGCTAATAGGTATATAATTTCCTAAGGATTTATCTTCCATACTCAAAACAGACGAATTATAGAATTAAAAGTCTATTGAGGGAAATAGAACCAGAGATATTATGCTACGCTGGTCATGGAACAAATTTGGAATATGTAGAATTAGCAAAGAAACTTAGCTGTGATGAGTGAGCGTATTCATCAGATAAAATGAGGTTCTATAAGTCATAGGGCTTATATTAATCAATGCATCCCAGATACTTTGGCGCTCTTGATAATGCCTAATCAGCGTCTTTAATAAGAATAGTTCTAGCTAATATTCCCATACATGATTTTTAATATAATATTAAGACAATAAGATAGTACAAAATAAAGTATTATGTGAAAAGGATGCATCAATTCCTCTCCTATATCTAGACAAGATAAAGGAAAGGTGGAAATATAATAAATACAAACTGGTTCAATTATTAATGGAATTAAAAAGCAGTCTAGTAGATGATGGTTACTTAAGAAAAGTTCAATTTTATAAAGAGGTAGGAATTAGAATAGAAAAGTAGTTTTACAATTTGAAATCTCTATCTATTAGCCAAATCTGGATAACAATCCAAATATTAAGAATCCTAAACAGAATTATTGGAAATGAAATACTCAAACAATCTTCTACATTTTTTCATGCACCTTGATTAAATTTTAAAAGATTAATTATAATTTTAATTGGGATTTTAGGCTGTATATATGAAAAGTAAAAAAAAGTTTAACAAACAGCCAATTATTTTTTAATTTTAAATAATCATTATCTGGCAAAAAGTAAGTTATAATGTGAATTTTTTTTTTTAAATTGGACCTAAATTCAAAGTATAAAACAAAATATTTTAAAAATGGAATAGAAGGATGGTTGTTATGAATTATATTCAAGCAAGAAATGATAGGAAATATTCATTAGCTAATAAATTAATTAAAGGAAAAAAATAAAATCATTTATTTTTAATGAGTCTTTAATTATATTATCAGGTAAATATCATACTTTTCTCTGGTATTGTTCATCAATATAATAAGCCATCTAAATTAGAATCATTATATTAATACGCAAGATTAATTACACATATCTAAAATTAAAATAATCATATGCCTTTAATTATTATCATCTAACAAATAATTTAACTCAATTTTAATTAAACCTTATAATTGTTCATAAAATCATATTTTTTTAAATATATTCTTTAAATCATTCTCTATTATTTATGTATATTCACAGTAAATCTTTTTTACTTAAGTATATTCTAAGCAAACACCATAAGAAAAGTTGTATTATGAAGGCGAGGATTAACAAATAAAAATAGTCCTCTTTTCTAATAAAAAAATTTATAACTCTAAAATGATTTGTGAAATCCAAGTTTTTTTATTCTCTCTTATTATTTGAAAAATCAATTTTATTTGAATTAGATTGTTTTTTTAGTTAATTTTACAGAAAATTATCAATAATATAATATTAACTAAATAAATTCTTTATATTTTTAATAATTCATTCTTCTTCATTATATTTTCTAATTTAAATCTACTTTGATTTGTCATCCCATGTAATTAAATACTGTCCATCCTCACTCATCACTCCAGTTAAATTAGAAGTTCCCAAATGAATAGATTATTGAGTAAGAAACTCTCCATTTTATTTCTTCCTTATTAAATTGGTGTATTCGCCGTTCTTATTCACTAGGATAGATTTTGCTTTTATATATTATTAAGGAAAGAAACAATTAAAATCTGATCCACCTTTTACAGAAATATGTTAAATTTGGGTATATTATTTATTGATACTGCTCATCTTAAAAATAGACATCTATTCTTTATCAAAAGATTAGAATGTGAACATATTATTATCAATAAAACATATTCGATATCCATATTATTCCACTTTAATCTTTTATATTACAATCCATTCTTTATTCTATTGTGATTGTTCTATTATTAATATCTGATTATCATAACCACAAGATATAATTCTATTTTATTGTTAATTTAAACTTAACCCATATACAGAACTTGAATGATCTGTTATTGCTTATAAACACAACCATTCATTCTCCTTTATCCAAAATTAAATAGTTCTATCATAACAACCTAATACAATTAAATCTTCATTATTATTTACTATCAAACAATTAATACAAATAGTCTTTCCATTTAATTTCTATTAGGAAATCCATTAATTATGTTATTCATTTGACCATATAATTACAGAACTATCATAACTTCCTGATAGAAACTAATTCTAGTTTTTCATAAAGTTCAAAGTAGTTACATAGTCCTAATGTTCATCTAAAATTTAAATTTGTTTCAGCATTCCTTGTTTAAATTCAAATACTTTGATTTTTGAGTCACATCCAGTCACCAATGTTGAAAAACCTTTATTAATAGCTATTGCATAACATGATTCTTTTTAAGAAACTTGTGATGGTTATTCCACGAGATCAAATCTAAATGGACTTAGATAAGATTCATTTATCTTTTTTTTCAATTATTATACAACCTCATTCATTTTTTTAATTAAAACTTTATTATTAATTGTAGTAAAAATGGGTTTTAGCTATTTTAGACTACTTGTAAATACTAATTCAATTTCTTATGCTAGTTGTCCATTTGTTTCATTCAAATTTGTAAACTCTATTATCAAATCGTTTTAAAATTGTTCTAAAAATGATATACTGCTTATATATTTAGCTATTTCTTCAAACTTTTTTTTTTTTTTCTTAGGATTATATGTTTTGTTGAGAACATGCAATTTCTTATTGG